AGTAGAAGGCGGGAGACCAAGAACCTGCTGAAGGAGCGGAACGAAGTACGGCCGAGGCCGCGCGGCGACTCCAGACACAGGAGGGACAGCACCAGCACCCCCAGTGGCAGCACCAGCACCAGTAGCAGCTCCAGCTCCAGAACCCCCAGCAGCACCAGTAGCACCCCCAGCAGGACCGCCTCCAGGACCGACAGCAGTAGCCTCCGCGCCAACACCCGCAGCAACTCCAGCTCCAGAAGTACCCGCAGGTCCAGCAGCTCCAGTACTCCCAGTACGAGCACCTCCGGGACCCGTGGCACCAGCTCTCTCAGCAGCAACAGAACCTCCAGTACCCGCAGCACCTCCAGCTCCAGCAGCTCGCCTCCAGCGCCGGGCAAACCACTCACGCAGCTCCTGGGGAGAGAGTGGCTCCCGGCGAGAAGGAGCACCCGGAGAACCGCCAGGCACAGCACCACCAGGCGTAGCACCCCCAGGCTCAGCACCTCCAGGCGTAGTACCCCCAGGCTCAGCACCCCCAGACGCAGCACCACCAGGCTCAGCACCCCCAGTCGTAGTACCCACACGCTCAGCACCCCCAGAGTCAGCACCCACACGCTCAGCACCCCCAGAGTCAGCACCCCCAGGCTCAGCACCCTCAGCAGCACCAGAGTCACCAGCGACCTCGACAGGCTCAACAACGTCTACCTGGGACACACGTGAAGGGGCAGGACCCTGAGGGGGGAGGGGGTCTACCGGGGGGGGACCTGGTACAAGGAAGAGCGGTGGCGGGGGGAGGGACGGAGTGCGGTAGGGGAAGAGGCGGTAGTAGGGGACCGACTCGTCGAACGTGACGTCGTGGGAGGACAGAACACGGCGAGAGGTGGGGTGGTAGAACTGCCACCCTGGGGCGTCAGGGGGGAAACCCAGGAAGACGCAAGGAGCAGCACGAGGGGACAGCTTGTCCGTAGACAAGTCGCGGACAAACGCCCGAGATCCCCAGACACGGAACGCAGACGCATCGCCAACCTTCCCCGTCCACAGCAAGGCTGGGGAGGTCTCCGGCATGGAGACCCTGGGCTGAAGGTTGATCTGATGCGCCGCGTACCGAACCGCAAACGGCCACAGAAAATGGGGGGCAGCCGCATGCATCATGGACGTACGGGCGACGTCCATGACCATGCCAATGCGGCGCTCAGCAATCCCATTTTGCTGTGGAGAGTCCGGAAGCGTGAAGGTCTGGCGGATGCCTCGTGCACGACAGTAGGCTCGCAGAAGGCCAGAGGAGAACTCTCCGCCTCTGTCAGAGTGCAGACGCAGAACAGGAAAGTCCGAGCCGAAGCTCCGCCTGAGCTGGAGACGAGCTGCGCGGATCCAGTCGATCAACACCTCAGTGACATCACCCTTGCTGCGCAAGGGGAAGACTGTGGTGTAACGCGAGTAGTCGTCAACCACCAGCAGGAAGTAGCGCTCGTGACCCTGTCCACGGACGCGGGCCGGGCCCCACACGTCCATGTGAAGCGTCTGCAGCGGGGCCTCTGTCGGAGGAAACTGGGAGGAGTGAGGGGTAGCCCGCTGTCGTCCCTCGACACAGGGGACGCAGGTAGGGCCAGGCCCCGGAGGAAGTGGAGGGAGGGACCGGGGAAGACCAGAGACAAGGACACGGGAGGCCATGCTCCGGAGACGAAGCAGGGAGGGGTGACCAAGGCGGTGGTGCCAGAGGAGAGTCTCGTGAGACAGGAGGCGACACGAGCAGGGGGCAGACTCAGGACCAGACCTGGATGCTGCAGCAAACACCTGACCCGACGCAGCTACCTGACCAGACGCAGGGACTGGGGGAGACGCAGTGGTCAGTGTGTACAGGCTCGACCCCGGCCGACGTGTAAACGTGGCCAGGTGTCGGCCTGTCCGAGCGTCCGTGCAGTGGGTCACCCGCTGACTCGCAGGAGTGAACTGGTGAACCCCCGCATCCTGTAGGTCAGCACCACTCACCAAGTTCGTAGAGAACGAGGGGAGGTAAAGACCAGACAGGGTGCCAGAGGGGGCCGCCGGACACGGGAGGACAGTGGAGAAGTGAGCAAGGACAGGACCCCCAGAGGGGTCTGCCAGAGAGACCGCAACTGGCCGGCCAAGCGGCGTGAGTGTGGTGCGGTCTCGAAAGAAGGAGCGAGAAGCCCCCGAGTCAAGGGTGAAGGTGTGGGAGGCCGAAGCCGACGCAGAACCTGAGAGAGCAGACTCACCAGTACCTGAGGGAGCAGACGCACCTAGAGCAGCAGCCTCGCTAGCACCTAGAGCAGCAGCCTCACCAGTACCTAGAGCAGCAGTCTCAATGCCCGGGTCGGGCGGAAAACACCGGTAACAGTCACCCTCATCACTAATAGTCACAGTATACATGGCAGCAAGAATAGCATCAAAGTCAAGGTCAAAGACAGCTACACCCGCCCTAGACAGCTCACCCCAGCGGGGGATCTCAGTGGCCTCAGGGAACTGGTGACGCCAAGCGTCCGTCAGGCGGCCAAAGCAGCGCTGGGTGGAGTGCGCACCCCCGCACTGCTCACCCGCGCGGTCGCCGGTGCGCAGGACGTAGGTGCACGGACCAGTACCCCCACTCCTCTGGCGTGCAGTGTACCACTCACGGAGCTGCTGAGGGGAGGGGACGTCACGAGTGCGCTGCTGCTGCTGCTGCTGCTGCTGCTGCTGCTGCTGCTGCTGGCGCTGACCACCACCGGAGCCGACCCTCTGCGCAGCGCCACCCCGACCAGCTCCACCTCCTCCGCCGCCTCCTCCTCCACCGCCGCCACCTCCGCTCCCTCCGCCACCGCCGCTGCCGCCTGCGCCTCCACTGCCGCCACCTACACCTCCACCCCCGCCACCACCCCCACCGCCACCCCCACCTCCTCCACCGCCTCCACCGCCGCCTCCACCGCCCCCGCTAGCTCCTCCAGCGCCCCTGCCCCCCTTGCCCTTGCCAGGGCGGCGTCTCCCGCTAGGGGTAGACGCTGCCCCAACCGACTCCAAACCAGCGAGGTCGGCCGCAGCAACAGAGGCAACAGAGGGCAAAAGAGGGGAGGGGGAACACCCCTCAAAGATGGGGGTGCGAGGGTCACCACGAGAGGCTCCTACAGCGACTATGCTCTTTTCTGCTGCTAGGAGGGCCTTCTCGAGGAGGTCAACGGTGAGAGTGGTGGGGCAAACCGAGAGGAAGTGGTCCCTGACTACGCGAAGGGAGTCAGGGAGACGGGTGACTATGTAGTAGAGGGTGATGTACATGGGGGGGGGGTTCTTGGCGCAGAACTCAGCAGGAAGCGCAGCGCGGTAGCGAGTGTCACTAGTGCGGAGGTGCGTAATGAGGTCAGCGACTGTGGGAAAGGCAGCAAGGTCAGGGAAGAGGTACGGTAGCATGAGGCGGCTCAGTGCAGCAGTGGCAGGGGAGGAGTAGCGTGCAACTACAGCGTCGTACAAGGTCTGAGCACTCTTGTACTGGCTAAAGTGCGCACGCTCAGAGGTAGGTAGGTGGCGACGCACAGCAAGACGTGCAGCAGCATCGCGCGTGGCCCACTGTGAGCGAACAGTGGCGTCAGCATCAGCAGCGGGGGCAGGAGAGGCACCAGAAGTGAGGTCAAAGAGGGAGAGGCCATCTGCCCTATCGCACTGTAAGAAAAGCTGCAAGTCATCTATCCAGACTTCAAAGTCAATGGCCCGACCCTCAGCGTCAAAAGCGAGGACACTAGGGGTAGCCATGACAGCAGTAGACTAGCAGTGCAAACAGTAGGGTGAGGGCAGTGCTGTGAGAGAGGCGCTGCTCTTACCGGACAGGGCGGCTCGGGCGGCTCGGCTGCAGGGCGGCTCGGCGACTCGACGGCTGGGCGGCTCGGCTGCTGGGCGGCTCGACGGCTCGGCTGCTGGGCGGCTCGGCTGCTGGGCGGCTCGGCGGCTGGGCGGCTCGGCTGCTGGGCTGCTCGGCTGCTGGGCGTATCGGCGGCTGGGCGGCTCGGCTGCTGGGCGGCTCGGCTGCTGGGCGGCTCAGCGGCTGGGCGGCTCGGTTGCTGGGCGGCTCGGCGGCTCAGCGGCTGGGCTGCTCGGTTGCTGGGCGGCTCGGCGGCTGGGCTGCTCGTAGGAGTAGGCGCGGGGGCCGTAGGAGCAGGCGCCGGGGCCGTAGGAGCAGGGGCCGGGGCCGCTAGGGCGGCGGATCGGGGCCGCGAGGGCGGCGGATCGGGGCCGCGAGGGCGGCGGAGTAGGGGCCGCGAGGGCGGCGGAGTAGGGGCCGCGAGGGCGGCGGATCGGGGCCGCGAGGGCGGCGGATCAGGGGCCGCGAGGGCGGCGGAGTAGGGGCCGCGAGGGCGGCGGATCGGGGCCGCGAAGGGCGGCGGATCGGGGCCGCGAGGGCGGCGGAGCGGGGCCGCGAGGGCGGCGGATCGGGGCCGCGAGGGCGGCGGATCGGGGCCGCGAGGGCGGCGGAGTAGGGGCCGCGAAGGGCGGCGGAGTAGGGGGCCCCGAGGGCGGCGGATCGGGGCCGCGAAGGGAGGCGGCCGGCGCCGCGAGGGTGGGGCCGCGGGGTCGCTAGGGTAGGGCGACAGAGCCGCGAGGGCGGCTCGTAGGGGCCGCGAGGGCGGCGCGAAGGGGCCGCTAGGGCGGCGCGAGAGAGGGGAGTGCGACTCGGGCAGGGGCTGAGTGCGCTCCGGGCAGGAAAAAAAAAAAACGGTGGGCCCTAGGAACAGTTCCCACGAGGGAACCTGCTCGATACCATGATAAGAAACAAGGAATGAATGAACTATGAATGAATTGGGTACAAGTACTAACCCTAATTGGGTTGTACCCCTTATGGGCTACCCCACTATAGCCTACACAATATGCATGAGCTATAATGTTCTGACAAGGGCATCACTGTATACTCGACGGACCCATATCTAGTTCTAAAAGCAGTCTTGGCGCAGTCGATCGGTTCGATTCGAATCTGGTGGCAATCGCCACATGAGTCGATTTTCGAAAACACCCTAGCTGTTCGAAGTTGGTCGATCAGTTCGTCAGCTCGGGAGGGAGAGGCAGGGAGGGAGAGGCAGGGAGGGAGAGGCAGGGAGGGAGAGGCAGGGAGGGAGAGGCAGAGGCAGGGAGGGAGAGGCAGGGAGGGAGAGGCAGAGGCAGGGAGGGAGAGGCAGGGAGGGAGAGGCAGGGAGGGAGAGGCAGGGAGGGAGAGGCAGGGAGGGAGAGGCAGGGAGGGAGAGGCAGGGAGGGAGAGGCAGGGAGGGAGAGGCAGGGAGGGAGAGGCAGAGGCAGGGAGGGAGAGGCAGAGAGGGAGAGGCAGAGGCAGGGAGGGAGAGGCAGAGGCAGGGAGGGAGAGGCAGAGGCAGGGAGGGAGAGGCAGAGGCAGGGAGGGAGAGGCAGAGGCAGGGAGGGAGAGGCAGAGGCAGGGAGGGAGAGGCAGAGGCAGGGAGGGAGAGGCAGAGGCAGGGAGGGAGAGGCAGAGGCAGGGAGGGAGAGGCAGAGGCAGGGAGGGAGAGGCAGAGGCAGGGAGGGAGAGGCAGAGGCAGGGAGGGAGAGGCAGAGGCAGGGAGGGAGAGGCAGAGGCAGGGAGGGAGAGGCAGAGGCAGGGAGGGAGAGGCAGAGGCAGGGAGGGAGAGGCAGGGAGGGAGGGAGAGGCAGAGGCAGGGAGGGAGAGGCAGAGGCAGGGAGGGAGAGGCAGGGAGGGAGAGGCAGGGAGGGAGAGGCAGGGGCAGGGAGGGAGAGGCAGGGAGGGAGAGGCAGGGAGGGAGAGGCAGGGAGGGAGAGGCAGGGAGGGAGAGGCAGGGAGGGAGAGGCAGGGAGGGAGAGGCAGGGAGGGAGAGGCAGGGAGGGAGAGGCAGGGAGGGAGAGGCAGGGAGGGAGAGGCAGGGAGGGAGAGGCAGGGAGGGAGAGGCAGGGAGGGAGAGGCTAGGGAGGGAGAGGCAGGGAGGGAGAGGCAGGGAGGGAGAGGCAGGGAGGGAGAGGCAGGGAGGGAGAGGCAGGGAGGAGAGGCAGGGAGGGAGAGGCAGGGAGGGAGAGGCAGGGAGGGAGAGGCAGGGAGGGAGAGGCAGGGAGGGAGAGGCAGGGAGGGAGAGGCCAGGGAGGGAGAGGCAGGGAGGGAGAGGCAGGGATGGGGAGAGGCAGGGAGGGAGAGGCAGGGAGGGACTGAGGCAGGGAGGGAGAGGGCAGGGAGGGAGAGGGCAGGGAGGAGAGGCAGGGAGGGAGAGGCAGGGAGGGAGAGGCAGGGAGGGAGAGGCAGGGAGGGAGAGGCAGGGAGGGAGAGGCAGGGAGGGAGAGGCAGGGAGGGAGAGGCAGGGAGGGAGAGGCAGGGAGGGAGAGGCAGGGAGGGAGAGGCAGGGAGGGAGAGGCAGGGAGGGAGAGGCAGGGAGGGAGAGGCATGGGAGGGAGAGGCAGGCAGGGAGGGAGAGGCAGGGAGGGAGAGGCAGGGAGGGAGAGGCAGGGAGGGAGAGGCAGGGAGGGAGAGGCAGGGAGGGAGAGGCAGGGAGGGAGAGGCAGGGAGGGAGAGGCAGGGAGGGAGAGGCAGGGAGGGAGAGGCAGGGAGGGAGAGGCAGGGAGGGAGAGGCAGGGAGGGAGAGGGAGGGAGGCAGAGGGAGAGCAGGGAGGGAGAGGCAGGGAGGGAGAGGCAGGCGAGGGAGAGGCAGGGAGGGAGAGGCAGGGAGGGAGAGGCAGGGAGGGAGAGGCAGGGAGGGAGAGGCAGGGAGGGAGAGGCAGGGAGGGAGAGGCAGGGAGGGAGAGGCAGGGAGGGAGAGGCAGGGAGGGAGAGGCAGGGAGGGAGAGGCAGGGAGGGAGAGGCAGGGAGGGAGAGGCAGGGAGGGAGAGGCAGGGAGGGAGAGGCAGGGAGGGAGAGGCAGGGAGGGAGAGGCAGGGAGGGAGAGGCAGGGAGGGAGAGGCAGGGAGGGAGAGGCAGGGAGGGAGAGGCAGGGAGGGAGAGGCAGGGAGGGAGAGGCAGGGAGGGAGAGGCAGGGAGGGAGAGGCAGGGAGGGAGAGCAGGGAGGGAGAGGCAGGGAGGGAGAGGCAGGGAGGGAGAGGCAGGGAGGGAGAGGCAGGGAGGGAGAGGCAGGGAGGGAGAGGCAGGGAGGGAGAGGCATGGCGTTGGGAGCGGCAGGGAGGGAGAGGCAGGGAGGGAGAGGCAGGGAGGGAGAGGCAGGGAGGGAGAGGCAGGGAGGGAGAGGCAGGGAGGGAGAGGCAGGGAGGGAGAGGCAGGGAGGGAGAGGCAGGGAGGGAGAGGCAGGGAGGGAGAGGCAGGGAGGGAGAGGCAGGGAGGGAGAGGCATGGCGTTGGGAGCGGCAGGGAGGGAGAGGCAGGGAGGGAGAGGCAGGGAGGGAGAGGCAGGGAGGGAGAGGCAGGGAGGGAGAGGCATGGCGTTGGGAGCGGCAGGGAGGGAGAGGCAGGGAGGGAGAGGCAGGGAGGGAGAGGCAGGGAGGGAGAGGCAGGGAGGGAGAGGCAGGGAGGGAGAGGCAGGGAGGGAGAGGCAGGGAGGGAGAGGCAGGGAGGGAGAGGCAGGGAGGGAGAGGCAGGGAGGGAGAGGCAGGGAGGGAGAGGCAGGGAGGGAGAGGCAGGGAGGAGAGGCAGGGAGGGAGAGGCAGGAGGGAGAGGCAGGGAGGGAGAGGCAGGGAGGGAGAGGCAGGGAGGGAGAGGCAGGGAGGGAGAGGCAGGGAGGGAGAGGCAGGAGGGAGAGGCAGGGGAGGGAGAGGCAGGGAGGGAGAGGCAGGGAGGGAGAGGCAGGGAGGGAGAGGCAGGGAGGGAGAGGCAGGGAGGGAGAGGCATGGCGTGGAGCGGCAGGGAGGGAGATGGCAGGGAGGGAGAGGCAGGGAGGGAGAGGCAGGGAGGGAGAGGCAGGGAGGGAGAGGCAGGGAGGGAGAGGCAGGGAGGGAGAGGCAGGGAGGGAGAGGCAGGGAGGGAGAGGCAGGGAGGGAGAGGCAGGGAGGGAGAGGCAGGGAGGGAGAGGCAGGGAGGGAGAGGCAGGGAGGGAGAGGCAGGGAGGGAGAGGCAGGGAGGGAGAGGCAGGGAGGGAGAGGCATGGCGTTGGAGCGGCAGGGAGGGAGAGGCAGGGAGGGAGAGGCAGGGAGGGAGAGGCAGGGAGGGAGAGGCAGGGAGGGAGAGGCAGGGAGGAGAGGCAGGGAGGGAGAGGCAGGGAGGGAGAGGCAGGGAGGGAGAGGCAGGGAGGGAGAGGCAGGGAGGGAGAGGCAGGGAGGGAGAGGCAGGGAGGGAGAGGCAGGGAGGGAGAGGCAGGAGGAGAGGCAGGAGGAGAGCAGGGAGGGAGAGGCAGGAGGGAGAGGCAGGGAGGGAGAGGCAGGGAGGGCAGGGAGGGGAGGCAGGGAGGGAGAGGCAGGGAGGGAGAGGCAGGGAGGGAGAGGCAGGGAGGGAGAGGCAGGGAGGGAGAGGCAGGGAGGGAGAGGCAGGGAGGGAGAGGCAGGGAGGGAGAGGCATGGCGTGGGAGCGGCAGGGAGGGAGAGGCAGGGAGGGAGAGGCAGGGAGGGAGAGGCAGGGAGGGAGAGGCAGGGAGGGAGAGGCATGGCGTTGGGAGCGGCAGGGAGGGAGAGGCAGGGAGGGAGAGGCAGGGAGGGAGAGGCAGGGAGGGAGAGGCAGGGAGGGAGAGGCAGGGAGGGAGAGGCATGGCGTTGGAGCGGCAGGGAGGGAGAGGCAGGGAGGGAGAGGCAGGGAGGGAGAGGCAGGGAGGGAGAGGCAGGGAGGGAGAGGCATGGCGTTGGAGCGGCAGGGAGGGAGAGGCAGGGAGGGAGAGGCAGGGAGGGAGAGGCAGGGAGGGAGAGGCAGGGAGGGAGAGGCAGGGAGGGAGAGGCAGGGAGGGAGAGGCAGGGAGGGAGAGGCATGGCGTTGGGAGCGGCAGGGAGGGAGAGGCAGGGAGGGAGAGGCAGGGAGGGAGAGGCAGGGAGGGAGAGGCAGGGAGGGAGAGGCAGGGAGGGAGAGGCATGGCGTTGGGAGCGGCAGGGAGGGAGAGGCAGGGAGGGAGAGGCAGGGAGGGAGAGGCAGGGAGGGAGAGGCAGGAGGGAGAGGCATGGCGTTGGAGCGGCAGGGAGGGAGAGGCAGGGAGGGAGAGGCAGGGAGGGAGAGGCAGGGAGGGAGAGGCAGGGAGGGAGAGGCAGGGAGGGAGAGGCAGGGAGGGAGAGGCAGGGAGGGAGAGGCATGGCGTGGGAGCGGCAGGGAGGGAGAGGCAGGGAGGGAGAGGCAGGGAGGGAGAGGCAGGGAGGGAGAGGCAGGGAGGGAGAGGCAGGGAGGGAGAGGCATGGCGTTGGGAGCGGCAGGGAGGGAGAGGCAGGGAGGGAGAGGCAGGGAGGGAGAGGCAGGGAGGGAGAGGCAGGGAGGGAGAGGCATGGCGTTGGGAGCGGCAGGGAGGAGAGGCAGGGAGGGAGAGGCAGGGAGGGAGAGGCAGGGAGGGAGAGGCAGGGAGGGAGAGGCAGGGAGGGAGAGGCAGGGAGGGAGAGGCAGGGAGGGAGAGGCAGGGAGGGAGAGGCAGGGAGGGAGAGGCAGGGAGGGAGAGGCAGGGAGGGAGAGGCAGGGAGGAGAGGCAGGGAGGGAGAGGCAGGGAGGGAGAGGCAGGGAGGGAGAGGCAGGGAGGGAGAGGCATGGCGTTGGAGCCTGGCAGGGCAGGGAGGGAGAGGCAGGGAGGAGAGGCAGGGAGGAGAGGCAGGGAGGGAGAGGCAGGGAGGGAGAGGCAGGGAGGAGAGGCAGGGAGGAGAGGCAGGGAGGGAGAGGCAGGGAGGAGAGGCAGGGAGGGAGAGGCAGGGAGGGAGCGGCAGGGAGGGAGAGGCAGGGAGGGAGAGGCAGGGAGGGAGAGGCAGGGAGGGAGAGGCAGGGAGGGAGAGGCAGGGAGGGAGAGGCAGGGAGGGAGAGGCAGGGGAGAGGGAGAGGGAGGGGAGAGGCATGGCAGTGGAGCGGCAGGGAGGGAGAGGCAGGGAGGGAGAGGCAGGAGGGAGAGGCAGGGAGGGAGAGGCAGGGAGGGAGAGGCATGGGCGTGGGAGCGGCAGGGAGGGAGAGAGGCATGGAGGGAGAGCAGGGAGGAGAGGCAGGGAGGGAGAGGCAGGGAGGAGAGGCAGGGAGGGAGAGGCATGGCGTTGGGGAGAGGCAGGGAGGGAGAGGCAGGGCGGGAGAGGCAGGGAGGGAGAGGCAGGGAGGGAGAGGCAAGGGAGGGAGAGGCATGGCGTTGGGAGCGGCAGGGAGGGAGAGGCAGGGAGGGAGAGGCAGGGAGGGAGAGGCAGGGAGGAGAGGCAGGAGGGAGAGGCAGGGAGGGAGAGGCAGGGAGGGAGAGGCAGGGAGCGGAGAGGGCATGGCGTTGGGAGCGGCAGGGAGGAGAGGCAGGGAGGAGAGCAGGGATGGAGAGGCAGGGAGGGAGAGGCAGGAGGGAGAAGGCAGGGAGGGAGAGGCAGGGAGGGAGAGGCATGGCGTTGGGAGCGGCAGGGAGGGAGAGAGGCAGGGAGGGAGAGGCAGGGAGGGAGAGGCAGGGAGGGAGAGGCATGGCGTTGGGAGCGGCAGGGAGGGAGAGGCAGGGAGGGAGAGGCAGGGAGGGAGAGGCAGGGAGGGAGAGGCAGGGAGGGAGAGGCAGGGAGGGAGAGGCAGGGAGGGAGAGGCAGGGAGGGAGAGGCAGGGAGGGAGAGGCAGGGAGGGAGAGGCAGGGAGGGAGAGGCAGGGAGGGAGAGGCAGGGAGGGAGAGGCAGGGAGGGAGAGGCAGGGAGGGAGAGGCAGGGAGGGAGAGGCAGGGAGGGGAGAGGCAGGGAGGGAGAGGCATGGCGTGGAGCGGCAGGGAGGGAGAGGCAGGGAGGGAGAGGCAGGGAGGAGAGGCAGGGAGGGAGAGGCAGGGAGGGAGAGGCAGGGAGGGAGAGGCAGGGAGGGAGAGGCAGGGAGGGAGAGGGCAGGGAGGGAGAGGCAGGGAGGGAGAGGCAGGGAGGGAGAGGCAGGGAGGGAGAGGCAGGGAGGGAGAGGCAGGGAGGGAGAGGCCAGGGGGAGGCAGGAGGGAGAGGCAGGGAGGGAGAGGCAGGGAGGGAGAGGCAGGGAGGGAGAGGCATGGCGTTGGGAGCGGCAGGGAGGGAGAGGCAGGGAGGGAGAGGCAGGGAGGGAGAGGCAGGGAGGGAGAGGCAGGGAGGGAGAGGCATGGCGTTGGGAGCGGCAGGGAGGGAGAGGCAGGGAGGGAGAGGCAGGGAGGGAGAGGCAGGGAGGGAGAGGCAGGGAGGGAGAGGCAGGGAGGGAGAGGCAGGGAGGGAGAGGCAGGGAGGGAGAGGCAGGGAGGGAGAGGCAGGGAGGGAGAGGCAGGGAGGGAGAGGCAGGGAGGGAGAGGCAGGGAGGGAGAGGCATGGCGTTGGGAGCGGCAGGGAGGGAGAGGCAGGGAGGGAGAGGCAGGGAGGGAGAGGCAGGGAGGGAGAGGCAGGGAGGGAGAGGCATGGCGTTGGGAGCGGCAGGGAGGGAGAGGCAGGGAGGGAGAGGCAGGGAGGGAGAGGCAAGGGAGGGAGAGGCAGGGAGGGAGAGGCAGGGAGGGAGAGGCATGGCGTTGGGAGCGGGCAGGGAGGGAGAGGCAGGGAGGGAGAGGCAGGGAGGGAGAGGCAGGGAGGGAGAGGCATGGCGTTGGGAGCGGCAGGGAGGGAGAGGCAGGGAGGGAGAGGCAGGGAGGGAGAGGCAGGGAGGGAGAGGCAGGGAGGGAGAGGCAGGGAGGGAGAGGCAGGGAGGGAGAGGCAGGGAGGGAGAGGCAGGGAGGGAGAGGCAGGGAGGGAGAGGCAGGGAGGGAGAGGCAGGGAGGGAGAGGCAGGGAGGGAGAGGCAGGGAGGGAGAGGCAGGGGAGGGAGAGGCAGGGAGGGAGAGGCAGGGAGGGAGAGGCATGGCGTTGGGAGCGGCAGGGAGGGAGAGGCAGGGAGGGAGAGGCAGGGAGGGAGAGGCAGGGGAGGGAGAGGCAGGGAGGGAGAGGCAGGGAGGGAGAGGCAGGGAGGGGAGAGGCAGGGAGGGAGAGGCATGGCGTTGGGAGCGGCAGGGAGGGAGAGGCAGGGAGGGAGAGGCAGGGAGGGAGAGGCAGGGAGGGAGAGGCAGGGAGGGAGAGGCATGGCGTTGGGAGCGGCAGGGAGGGAGAGGCAGGGAGGGAGAGGCAGGGAGGGAGAGGCAGGGAGGGAGAGGCAGGGAGGGAGAGGCAGGGAGGGAGAGGCATGGCGTTGGGAGCGGCAGGGAGGGAGAGGCAGGGAGGGAGAGGCAGGGAGGGAGAGGCAGGGAGGGAGAGGCAGGGAGGGAGAGGCATGGCGTTGGGAGCGGCAGGGAGGGGAGAGGCAGGGAGGGAGAGGCAGGGAGGGAGAGGCAGGGAGGGAGAGGCAGGGAGGGAGAGGCAGGGAGGGAGAGGCAGGGAGGGAGAGGCAGGGAGGAGAGGCAGGGAGGGAGAGGCAGGGAGGGAGAGGCAGGGAGGGAGAGGCAGGGAGGGAGAGCAGGCAGGGAGGGAGAGGCAGGGAGGGAGAGGCAGGGAGGGAGAGGCAGGGAGGGAGAGGCAGGGAGGGAGAGGCAGGGAGGGAGAGGCAGGGAGGGAGAGGCAGGGAGGGAGAAGGCAGGGAGGGAGAGGCAGGGAGGGAGAGGCAGGGAGGGGAGAGGCAGGGAGGGAGAGGCAGGGAGGGAGAGGCAGGGAGGGAGAGGCAGGGAGGGAGAGGCAGGGAGGGAGAGGCAGGGAGGGAGAGGCAGGGAGGGAGAGGCAGGGAGGGAGAGGCAGGGAGGGAGAGGCAGGGAGGGAGAGGCAGGGAGGGAGAGGCAGGGAGGGAGAGGCAGGGAGGGAGAGGCAGGGAGGGAGAGGCAGGGAGGGAGAGGCAGGGAGGGAGAGGCAGGGAGGGAGAGGCAGGAGGGAGAGGCAGGGAGGGAGAGGCAGGGAGGGAGAGGGCAGGGAGGGAGAGGCAGGGAGGGAGAGGCAGGGAGGGAGAGGCAGGGAGGGAGAGGCAGGGAGGGAGAGGCAGGGAGGGAGAGGCAGGGAGGGAGAGGCATGGGTAGGGAGAGGCAGGGAGGGAGAGGCATGGCGTTGGGAGCGGCAGGGAGGGAGAGGCATGGCGTTGGAGCGGCAGGGAGGGAGAGGCATGGCGTTGGGAGCGGCAGGGAGGGAGAGGCATGGCGTTGGGAGCGGCAGGGAGGGAGAGGCATGGCGTTGGGAGCGGCAGGGAGGGAGAGGCATGGCGTTGGGAGCGGCAGGGAGGGAGAGGCATGGCGTTGGGAGCGGCAGGGAGGGAGAGGCATGGCGTTGGGAGCGGCAGGGAGGGAGAGGCATGGCGTGGGAGCGGCAGGGAGGGAGAGGCATGGCGTTGGGAGCGGCAGGGAGGGAGAGGCATGGCGTTGGGAGCGGCAGGGAGGGAGAGGCATGGCGTTGGGAGCGGCAGGGAGGGAGAGGCATGGCGTTGGGAGCGGCAGGGAGGGAGAGGCATGGCGTTGGGAGCGGCAGGGAGGGAGAGGCATGGCGTTGGGAGCGGCAGGGAGGGAGAGGCATGGCGTTGGGAGCGGCAGGGAGGGAGAGGCATGGCGTTGGGAGCGGCAGGGAGGGAGAGGCATGGCGTTGGGAGCGGCAGGGAGGGAGAGGCATGGCGTTGGGAGCGGCAGGGAGGGAGAGGCATGGCGTTGGGAGCGGCAGGGAGGGAGAGGCATGGCGTTGGGAGCGGCAGGGAGGGAGAGGCATGGCGTTGGGAGCGGCAGGGAGGGAGAGGCATGGCGTTGGGAGCGGCAGGGAGGGAGAGGCATGGCGTTGGGAGCGGCAGGGAGGGAGAGGCATGGCGTTGGGAGCGGCAGGGAGGGAGAGGCATGGCGTTGGGAGCGGCAGGGAGGGAGAGGCATGGCGTTGGGAGCGGCAGGGAGGGAGAGGCATGGCGTTGGGAGCGGCAGGGAGGGAGAGGCATGGCGTTGGGAGCGGCAGGGAGGGAGAGGCATGGCGTTGGGAGCGGCAGGGAGGGAGAGGCATGGCGTTGGGAGCGGCAGGGAGGGAGAGGCATGGCGTTGGGAGCGGCAGGAGGAGAGGCTGGCGTGAGGGCAGGGAGGAGAGGCATGGCGTTGGGAGCGGCAGGGAGGGAGAGGCATGGCGTTGGGAGCGGCAGGGAGGGAGAGGCATGGCGTTGGGAGCGGCAGGGAGGGAGAGGCATGGCGTTGGGAGCGGCAGGGAGGGAGAGGCATGGCGTTGGGAGCGGCAGGGAGGGAGAGGCATGGCGTTGGGAGCGGCAGGGAGGGAGAGGCATGGCGTTGGGAGCGGCAGGGAGGGAGAGGCATGGCGTTGGGAGCGGCAGGGAGGGAGAGGCATGGCGTTGGGAGCGGCAGGGAGGGAGAGGCATGGCGTTGGGAGCGGCAGGGAGGGAGAGGCATGGCGTTGGGAGCGGCAGGGAGGGAGAGGCATGGCGTTGGGAGCGGCAGGGAGGGAGAGGCATGGCGTTGGGAGCGGCAGGGAGGGAGAGGCATGGCGTTGGGAGCGGCAGGAGGGAGAGGCATGGCGTGGGAGCGGAGGAGGAGAGCATGGCGTTGGGAGCGGCAGGGAGGGAGAGGCATGGCGTTGGGAGCGGCAGGGAGGGAGAGGCATGGCGTTTGGGAGCGGCAGGGAGGGAGAGGCATGGCGTTGGGAGCGGCAGGGAGGGAGAGGCATGGCGTTGGGAGCGGCAGGGAGGGAGAGGCATGGCGTTGGGAGCGGCAGGGAGGAGAGGCATGGCGTTGGGAGCGGCAGGGGAGGGAGAAGGCATGGCGTTGGGAGCGGCAGGGAGGGAGAGGCATGGCGTGGGAGCGGCAGGAGGGAGAGGCATGGCGTTGGGAGCGGCAGGGAGGGAGAGGCATGGCGTTGGGAGCGGCAGGGAGGGAGAGGCATGGCGTTGGGAGCGGCAGGGAGGGAGAGGCCATGGCGTTGGGAGCGGCAGGGAGGGAGAGGCTATGGCGTTGGGAGCGCAGGGAGGGAGAGGCATGGCGTTGGGAGCGGCAGGAGGGAGAGGCATGGCGTTGGGAGCGGCAGGGAGGGAGAGGCATGGCGTTGGGAGCGGCAGGGAGGGAGAGGCATGGCGTTGGGAGCGGCAGGGAGGGAGAGGCATGGCGTTGGGAGCGGCAGGGAGGGAGAGGCATGGCGTTGGGAGCGGCAGGGAGGGAGAGGCAATGGCGTTGGGAGCGGCAGGGAGGGAGAGGCATGGCGTTGGGAGCGGCAGGGAGGGAGAGGCATGGCGTTGGGAGCGGCAGGGAGGGAGAGGCATGGCGTTGGGAGCGGCAGGGAGGGAGAGGCATGGCGTTGGAGCGGCAGGGAGGGAGAGGCATGGCGTTGGGAGCGGCAGGGAGGGAGAGGCATGGCGTTGGAGCGGCAGGGAGGGAGAGGCATGGCGTTGGGAGCGGCAGGGAGGGAGAGGCATGCGTTGGGAGCGGCAGGGAGGGAGAGGCATGGCGTTGGGAGCGGCAGGGAGGGAGAGGCATGGCGTTGGGAGCGGCAGGGAGGGAGAGGCATGGCGTTGGGAGCGGCAGGGAGGGAGAGGCATGGCGTTGGGAGCGGCAGGAGTGAGAGCATGGCGTGAGCGCAGGAGGGAGAGGCATGGCGTTGGGAGCGGCAGGGAGGGAGAGGCATGGCGTTGGGAGCGGCAGGGAGGGAGAGGCATGGCGTTGGGAGCGGCAGGGAGGGAGAGGCATGGCGTTGGAGCGGCAGGGAGGGAGAGGCCATGCGTTGGGAGCGGCAGGGAGGGAGAGGCATGGCGTTGGGAGCGGCAGGGAGGGAGAGGCATGGCGTTGGGAGCGGCAGGGAGGGAGAGGCATGGCGTTGGGAGCGGCAGGGAGGGAGAGGCATGGCGTTGGGAGCGGCAGGGAGGGAGAGGCATGGCGTTGGGAGCGGCAGGGAGGGAGAGCATGGCGTTGGGAGCGGCAGGGAGGGAGAGGCATGGCGTTGGGAGCGGCAGGGAGGGAGAGGCATGGCGTTGGGAGCGGCAGGGAGGGAGAGGCATGGCGTTGGGAGCGGCAGGGAGGGAGAGGCATGGCGTTGGGAGCGGCAGGGAGGGAGAGGCATGGCGTTGGGAGCGGCAGGGAGGGAGAGGCATGGCGTTGGGAGCGGCAGGGAGGGAGAGGCATGGCGTTGGGAGCGGCAGGGAGGGAGAGGCATGGCGTTGGAGCGGCAGGGAGGGAGAGGCATGGCGTTGGGAGCGGCAGGGAGGGAGAGGCATGGCGTTGGGAGCGGCAGGGAGGGAGAGGCATGGCGTTGGGAGCGGCAGGGAGGGAGAGGCATGGCGTTGGGAGCGGCAGGGAGGGAGAGGCATGGCGTTGGGAGCGGCAGGGAGGGAGAGGCATGGCGTTGGGAGCGGCAGGGAGGGAGAGGCATGGCGTTGGGAGCGGCAGGGAGGGAGAGGCATGGCGTTGGGAGCGGCAGGGAGGGAGAGGCATGGCGTTGGGAGCGGCAGGGAGGGAGAGGCATGGCGTTGGGAGCGGCAGGGAGGGAGAGGCATGGCGTTGGGAGCGGCAGGGAGGGAGAGGCATGGCGTTGGGAGCGGCAGGGAGGGAGAGGCATGGCGTTGGGAGCGGCAGGGAGGGAGAGGCATGGCGTTGGGAGCGGCAGGGAGGGAGAGGCATGGCGTTGGGAGCGGCAGGGAGGGAGAGGCATGGCGTTGGGAGCGGCAGGGAGGGAGAGGCATGGCGTTGGGAGCGGCAGGGAGGGAGAGGCATGGCGTTGGGAGCGGCAGGGAGGGAGAGGCATGGCGTTGGGAGCGGCAGGGAGGGAGAGGCATGGCGTTGGGAGCGGCAGGGAGGGAGAGGCATGGCGTTGGGAGCGGCAGGGAGGGAGAGGCATGGCGTTGGGAGCGGCAGGGAGGGAGAGGCATGGCGTTGGAGCGGCAGGGAGGGAGAGGCATGGCGTTGGGAGCGGCAGGGAGGGAGAGGCATGGCGTTGGGAGCGGCAGGGAGGAGAGGCATGGCGTTGGGAGCGGCAGGGAGGGAGAGGCATGGCGTGGGAGCGGCAGGGAGGGAGAGGCATGGCGTTGGGAGCGGCAGGGAGGGAGAGGCATGGCGTTGGGAGCGGCAGGGAGGGAGAGGCATGGCGTTGGAGCGGCAGGGAGGGAGAGGCATGGCGTTGGGAGCGGCAGGGAGGGAGAGGCATGGCGTTGGGAGCGGCAGGGAGGGAGAGGCATGGCGTTGGGAGCGGCAGGGAGGGAGAGGCATGGCGTTGGGAGCGGCAGGGAGGGAGAGGCATGGCGTTGGGAGCGGCAGGGAGGGAGAGGCATGGCGTTGGGAGCGGCAGGGAGGGAGAGGGCATGGCGTTGGGAGCGGCAGGGAGGGAGAGGCATGGCGTTGGGAGCGGCAGGGAGGAGAGGCATGGCGGTTGGGAGCGGCAGGGAGGGAGAGGCATGGCGTTGGGAGCGGCAGGGAGGGAGAGGCATGGCGTTGGGAGCGGCAGGAGGGAGAGGCATGGCGTTGGGAGCGGCAGGGAGGGAGAGGCATGGCGTTGGGAGCGGCAGGGAGGGAGAGGCATGGCGTTGGGAGCGGCAGGGAGGGAGAGGCATGGCGTTGGGAGCGGCAGGGAGGGAGAGGCATGGCGTTGGGAGCGGCAGGGAGGGAGAGGCATGGCGTTGGGAGCGGCAGGGAGGGAGAGGCATGGCGTTGGGAGCGGCAGGGAGGGAGAGGCATGGCGTTGGGAGCGGCAGGGAGGGAGAGGCATGGCGTTGGGAGCGGCAGGGAGGGAGAGGCATGGCGTTTGGGAGCGGCAGGGAGGGAGAGGCATGGCGTTGGGAGCGGCAGGGAGGGAGAGGCATGGCGTTGGGAGCGGCAGGGAGGGAGAGGCATGGCGTTGGGAGCGGCAGGGAGGGAGAGAGGCATGGCGTTGGGAGCGGCAGGGAGGGAGAGGCATGGCGTTGGGAGCGGCAGGGAGGGAGAGGCATGGCGTTGGGAGCGGCAGGGAGGGAGAGGCATGGCGTTGGGAGCGGCAGGGAGGGAGAGGCATGGCGTTGGGAGCGGCAGGGAGGGAGAGGCATGGCGTTGGGAGCGGCAGGGAGGGAGAGGCATGGCGTTGGGAGCGGCAGGGAGGGAGAGGCATGGCGTTGGGAGCGGCAGGGAGGGAGAGGCATGGCGTTGGGAGCGGGCAGGGAGGGAGAGGCATGGCGTTGGGAGCGGCAGGGAGGGAGAGGCATGGCGTTGGGAGCGGCAGGGAGGGAGAGGCATGGCGTTGGGAGCGGCAGGGAGGGAGAGGCATGGCGTTGGGAGCGGCAGGGAGGGAGAGGCATGGCGTTGGGAGCGGCAGGGAGGGAGAGGCATGGCGTTGGGAGCGGCAGGGAGGGAGAGGCATGGCGTTGGGAGCGGCAGGGAGGGAGAGGCATGGCGTTGGGAGCGGCAGGGAGGGAGAGGCATGGCGTTGGGAGCGGCAGGGAGGGAGAGGCATGGCGTTGGGAGCGGCAGGGAGGGAGAGGCATGGCGTTGGGAGCGGCAGGGAGGGAGAGGCATGGCGTTGGGAGCGGCAGGGAGGGAGAGGCATGGCGTTGGGAGCGGCAGGGAGGGAGAGGCATGGCGTTGGGAGCGGCAGGGAGGGAGAGGCATGGCGTTGGGAGCGGCAGGGAGGGAGAGGCATGGCGTTGGGAGCGGCAGGGAGGGAGAGGCATGGCGTTGGGAGCGGCAGGGAGGGAGAGGCATGGCGTTGGGAGCGGCAGGGAGGGAGAGGCATGGCGTTGGGAGCGGCAGGGAGGAGAGGCATGGCGTTGGGAGCGGCAGGGAGGGAGAGGCATGGCGTTGGGAGCGGCAGGGAGGGAGAGGCGAGGCATGGCGTTGGGAGCGGCAGGGAGGGAGAGGCATGGCGTTGGGAGCGGCAGGGAGGGAGAGGCATGGCGTTGGGAGCGGCAGGGAGGGAGAGGCATGGCGTTGGGAGCGGCAGGGAGGGAGAGGCATGGCGTTGGGAGCGGCAGGGAGGGAGAGGCATGGCGTTGGGAGCGGCAGGGAGGGAGAGGCATGGCGTTGGGAGCGGCAGGGAGGGAGAGGCATGGCGTTGGGAGCGGCAGGGAGGGAGAGGCATGGCGTTGGGAGCGGCAGGGAGGGAGAGGCATGGCGTTGGGAGCGGCAGGGAGGGAGAGGCATGGCGTTGGGAGCGGCAGGGAGGGAGAGGCATGGCGTTGGGAGCGGCAGGGAGGGAGAGGCATGGCGTTGGGAGCGGCAGGGAGGGAGAGGCATGGCGTTGGGAGCGGCAGGGAGGGAGAGGCATGGCGTTGGGAGCGGCAGGGAGGGAGAGGCATGGCGTTGGGAGCGGCAGGGAGGGAGAGGCATGGCGTTGGGAGCGGCAGGGAGGGAGAGGCATGGCGTTGGGAGCGGCAGGGAGGGAGAGGCATGGCGTTGGGAGCGGCAGGGAGGGAGAGGCATGGCGTTGGGAGCGGCAGGGAGGGAGAGGCATGGCGTTGGGAGCGGCAGGGAGGGAGAGGCATGGCGTTGGGAGCGGCAGGGAGGGAGAGGCATGGCGTTGGGAGCGGCAGGGAGGGAGAGGCATGGCGTTGGGAGCGGCAGGGAGGGAGAGGCATGGCGTTGGGAGCGGCAGGGAGGAGAGGCATGGCGTTGGGAGCGGCAGGGAGGGAGAGGCATGGCGTTGGGAGCGGCAGGGAGGGAGAGGCATGGCGTTGGGAGCGGCAGGGAGGGAGAGGCATGGCGTTGGGAGCGGCAGGGAGGGAGAGGCATGGCGTTGGGAGCGGCAGGGAGGGAGAGGCATGGCGTTGGGAGCGGCAGGGAGGGAGAGGCATGGCGTTGGGAGCGGCAGGGAGGGAGAGGCATGGCGTTGGGAGCGGCAGGGAGGGAGAGGCCATGGCGTTGGGAGCGGCAGGGAGGGAGGAGGCATGGCGTTGGGAGCGGCAGGGAGGGAGAGGGCATGGCGTTGGGAGCGGCAGGGAGGGAGAGGCATGGCGTTTGGGAGCGGCAGGGAGGGAGAGGCATGGCGTTGGGAGCGGCAGGGAGGGAGAGGCATGGCGTTGGGAGCGGCAGGGAGGGAGAGGCATGGCGTTGGGAGGGCGGGCAGGGAGGGAGAGGCATGGCGTTGGGAGCGGCAGGGAGGGAGAGCAGGGGCATGGCGTTGGGAGCGGCAGGGAGGGAGAGGCATGGCGTTGGGAGCGGCAGGGAGGGAGAGGCATGGCGTTGGGAGCGGCAGGGAGGGAGAGGCATGGCGTTGGGAGCGGCAGGGAGGGAGAGGCATGGCGTTGGGAGCGGCAGGGAGGGAGAGGCATGGCGTTGGAGCGGCAGGGAGGGAGAGGCATGGCGTTGGGAGCGGCAGGGAGGGAGAGGCATGGCGTTGGGAGCGGCAGGGAGGGAGAGGCATGGCGTGGGAGCGGCAGGGAGGGAGAGGCATGGCGTTGGGAGCGGCAGGGAGGGAGAGGCATGGCGTTGGGAGCGGCAGGGAGGGAGAGGCATGGCGTTGGGAGCGGCAGGGAGGGAGAGGCATGGCGTTGGGAGCGGCAGGGAGGGAGAGGCATGGCGTTGGGAGCGGCAGGGAGGGAGAGGCATGGCGTTGGGAGCGGCAGGAGGGAGAGGCATGGCGTTGGAGCGGCAGGGAGGGAGAGGCATGGCGTTGGGAGCGGCAGGGAGGGAGAGGCATGGCGTTGGGAAGCTGGCAGGGAGGGAGAGGCATGGCGTTGGAGCGGCAGGGAGGGAGAGGCATGGCGTGGGAGCGGCAGGAGGGAGAGGCATGGCGTTGGGAGCGGCAGGGAGGGAGAGGCATGGCGTTGGGAGCGGCAGGGAGGGAGAGGCATGGCGTTGGGAGCGGCAGGGAGGGAGAGGCATGGCGTTGGGAGCGGCAGGGAGGAGAGGCATGGCGTTGGGAGCGGCAGGGAGGGAGAGGCATGGCGTTGGGAGCGGCAGGGAGGGAGAGGCATGGCGTTGGGAGCGGCAGGGAGGGAGAGGAGGCATGGCGTTGGGAGCGGCAGGGAGGGAGAGGCATGGCGTTGGGAGCGGCAGGGAGGGAAGAGGCATGGCGTTGGGAGCGGCAGGGAGGGAGAGGCATGGCGTTGGGAGCGGCAGGGAGGGAGAGGCATGGCGTTGGGAGCGGCAGGGAGGGAGAGGCATGGCGTTGGGGTGGTGTAGCGGCAGGGAGGGAGAGGCATGGCGTTGGGAGCGGCAGGGAGGGAGAGGCATGGCGTTGGGAGCGGGCAGGGAGGGAGAGGCATGGCGTTGGGAGCGGCAGGAGGGAGAGGCATGGCGTTGGGAGCGGCAGGGAGGGAGAGGCATGGCGTTGGGAGCGGCAGGGAGGGAGAGGCATGGCGTTGGGAGCGGCAGGGAGGGAGAGGCCATGGCGTTGGGAGCGGCAGGGAGGGAGAGGCATGGCGTTGGGAGCGGCAGGGAGGGAGAGGCATGGCGTTGGGAGCGGCAGGGAGGGAGAGGCATGGCGTTGGGAGCGGCAGGGAGGGAGAGGCATGGCGTTGGAGCGGCAGGGAGGGAGAGGCATGGCGTTGGGAGCGGCAGGGAGGGAGAGGCATGGCGTTGGGAGCGGCAGGGAGGGAGAGGCATGGCGTTGGGAGCGGCAGGGAGGGAGAGGCATGGCGTTGGGAGCGGCAGGGAGGGAGAGTCATGGCGTTGGGAGCGGCAGGGAGGGAGGAAGGCATGGCGTTGGGAGCGGCAGGGAGGGAGAGGCATGGCGTTGGGAGCGGCAGGGAGGGAGAGGCATGGCGTTGGGAGCGGCAGGGAGGGAGAGGCATGGCGTTGGGAGCGGCAGGGAGGGAGAGGCATGGCGTTGGGAGCGGCAGGGAGGGAGAGGCATGGCGTTGGGAGCGGCAGGAGGGAGAGCATGGCGTTGGGAGCGGCAGGGAGGGAGAGGCATGGCGTGGAGCGGCAGGGAGGGAGAGGCATGGCGTTGGGAGCGGCAGGGAGGGAGAGGCATGGCGTTGGGAGCGGCAGGGAGGGAGAGGCATGGCGTTGGGAGCGGCAGGGAGGGAGAGGCATGGCGTTGGGAGCGGCAGGGAGGGAGAGGCATGGCGTTGGGAGCGGCAGGGAGGGAGAGGCATGGCGTTGGGAGCGGCAGGGAGGAGAGGCATGGCGTTGGGAGCGGCAGGGAGGGAGAGGCATGGCGTTGGGAGCGGCAGGGAGGGAGAGGCATGGCGTTGGGAGCGGCAGGGAGGGAGAGGCATGGCGTTGGGAGCGGCAGGGAGGGAGAGGCATGGCGTTGGGAGCGGCAGGGAGGGAGAGGCATGGCGTTGGGAGCGGCAGGGAGGAGAGGCATGGCGTTGGGAGCGGCAGGAGGGAGAGGCATGGCGTTGGGAGCGGCAGGGAGGGAGAGGCATGGCGTTGGGAGCGGCAGGGAGGGAGAGGCATGGCGTTGGGAGCGGCAGGGAGGGAGAGGCATGGCGTTGGGAGCGGCAGGGAGGGAGAGGCATGGCGTTGGGAGCGGCAGGGAGGGAGAGGCATGGCGTTGGGAGCTGGCAGGGAGGGAGAGGCATGGCGTTGGGAGCGGCAGGGAGGGAGAGGCATGGCGTTGGGAGCGGCAGGGAGGGAGAGGCATGGCGTTGGGAGCGGCAGGGAGGGAGAGGCATGGCGTTGGGAGCGGCAGGGAGGGAGAGGCATGGCGTTGGGAGCGGCAGGGAGGGAGAGGCATGGCGTTGGGAGCGGCAGGGAGGGAGAGGCATGGCGTTGGGAGCGGCAGGGAGGGAGAGGCATGGCGTTGGGAGCGGCAGGGAGGGAGAGGCATGGCGTTGGGAGCGGCAGGGAGGGAGAGGCATGGCGTTGGAGCGGCAGGGAGGGAGAGGCATGGCGTTGGGAGCGGCAGGGAGGGAGAGGCATGGCGTTGGGAGCGGCAGGGAGGGAGAGGCATGGCGTTGGGAGCGGCAGGGAGGGAGAGGCATGGCGTTGGGAGCGGCAGGGAGGGAGAGGCATGGCGTTGGGAGCGGCAGGGAGGGAGAGGCATGGCGTTGGGAGCGGCAGGGAGGGAGAGGCATGGCGTTGGGAGCGGCAGGGAGGGAGAGGCATGGCGTTGGGAGCGGCAGGGAGGGAGAGGCATGGCGTTGGGAGCGGCAGGGAGGGAGAGGCATGGCGTTGGGAGCGGCAGGGAGGGAGAGGCATGGCGTTGGGAGCTGGCAGGGAGGGAGAGGCATGGCGTTGGGAGCGGCAGGGAGGGAGAGGCATGGCGTTGGGAGCGGCAGGGAGGGAGAGGCATGGCGTTGGGAGCGGCAGGGAGGGAGAGGCATGGCGTTGGGAGCGGCAGGGAGGGAGAGGCATGGCGTTGGGAGCTGGCAGGGAGGGAGAGGCATGGCGTTGGGAGCGGCAGGGAGGGAGAGGCATGGCGTTGGGAGCGGCAGGGAGGGAGAGGCATGGCGTTGGGAGCGGCAGGGAGGGAGAGGCATGGCGTTGGGAGCGGCAGGGAGGGAGAGGCATGGCGTTGGAGCGGCAGGGAGGGAGAGGCATGGCGTTGGGAGCGGCAGGGAGGGAGAGGCATGGCGTTGGGAGCGGCAGGGAGGGAGAGGCATGGCGTTGGGAGCGGCAGGGAGGGAGAGGCATGGCGTGGGAGCGGCAGGGAGGGAGAGGCATGGCGTTGGGAGCGGCAGGGAGGGAGAGGCATGGCGTTGGGAGCGGCAGGGAGGGAGAGGCATGGCGTTGGGAGCGGCAGGGAGGGAGAGGCATGGCGTTGGGAGCGGCAGGGAGGGAGAGGCATGGCGTTGGGAGCTGGCACATGGCGTTGACTTTCTCTCGCCTCATCTCTCTCACCACCAGATTGGGCAGCCGATACTCCAACCTGCGAGAGTTGAAGCAGGGGCAGAGGGAGAGGCAGGAAGGGAGAGGCAGCGAGGAGGAGACTTTTTGGTGGACTCAGAAGTCACCACCAGATCCGGCAGGGGCGTTGGAGCTGCTGGGGGGTATTTTGCTTCTCAGTCTCATTCTCAGTCTCACGCTCCATTATGTACACACATGACTTTTGAGGCGCCTCAGAAGGCGATTGGAGCTGCTGGGGGTATTTGCTTCTCAGTCTTGCGCTCCATGACGTATGCACACACAGTCACACGACACGAGTACTCTTTCCTTCTTCTTCTTAAGATGTGATGTGAGCCACCGTTTTTTCACCCTTCATGCGGTAAGGCCTAAGAAGGTCAACTGATATTGTGCCAAGGCTTACAGCCTGCGAGGTGTTAAGGGCAGAGAGAGAGAAAGTGGGGGCCATGCGGGTGGACTGCTGCAGAGAGAGAGAGAGGACGTTCACTTGAACAAAGAGAGAGTTCTGCCTGCACCTTGGACTGTTTCTTTGCGCATACTTTCAGACGTCCAAACATTTGACACTTCTATATATTCCTGAAAAAAAAAACCCTCAATGATCTAAACCGAGACATACCTCATGAAGAGCGATAAAATCTCTGCCTGCAGCTTGGACTGTGTGTACGCATACACTCTGAAGTTGGTCTCCACCACTATGAAGCCCTGCCACGCTAGGGGGCGAGTATGGTGCGGTGCAGATGTGGGACGGGTGAGTGAGTGAGCGAGTGAGTGCGTGATTTATAGAGAGGGTGTGTGGTATACAATGATCTCTACAGTTGGTGTGCTGACCGCATTGAAGCGCTGAGTGGTGAGTTGTACAGCAGTGAGGGGGCGAGCAAACGAGTGGAGGAAACAGGGAGAAAGGAGGGAAGAGAAGAAAGAGAGAGCCAGCAGGGGGGAAAGTGAAAGCCAGTTGCAATCTATAAGCCCGAGGTGTGGTTACAGCTCCAGGTGCGAGCACAATGCTATGCTGCAATGCAATGCAAGATGATGCTCGCTCACCTCTGAGTCTGACGTGGCAGATTCTGATAGGCTGGAGGAGAGAGCTGCTGCAAGGTGCGTGGGGATGAACCACTGGTCGTGCCTCCCCTGCGAGGGGTTGAGGGGATGGTGCAGTGTGGTGCAGTGTGGTGTGGTGTGGTGTGGTGTGGTGTGGTGTGGTGTGGTGTGGTGTGGTGTGGTGTGGTGTTGTGTGGTGTGGTGTGGGTGTGGTGTGGTGTGAAGGGCATATGAAAGCAGTGAGGAGGTTAATGACATGCTGACAGCATGCAGAAAATTATTAGTCCACTCAGCCCATGATGCTCGGGGCAGGGAGTACATTTGATATAGGTTCAATGCCACCACCTTAATATATGTATGCTGGGCACAGAGGGTACAAGTGAAGTGCATAGAAGACACCACACCTTCTGAGTGAGTACAAATCCCAGCTGGGCTATTTCCTCAACCACCTCTTGCTGCATGCTCGTCAGCGTTGACATGCTGTACGGCTGCTCTGGCCGTGGCGGAATGCATAGGTGCATGATGGGTGCAAGATGGGTGCAAGATGTGTGCATGATGGGTGCAAGATGTGTGCATGATGGGTGCAAGATGTGTGCATGATGTGTGCAAGATGGGTGCAAGATGGAGCAAGAAGGAGAGCGGCTTCTGGAATGGAGCAAGAAGGAGAGCGGCTTCTGGAATGGAGCAAGAAGGAGAGCGGCTTCTGGAATGGAGCAAGAAGGAGAGCGGCTTCTGGAATGGAGCAAGAAGGAGAGCAATGGAAAATGTTGACATCCCTACCCTTGCTACTCTCAAGTATCTTGTCGATCGGGTGCCACTGTGCTACTATTACATACTCACACCCATCCATCTTGACGAACCCCCTTGCTACTGATGACATGTGGGATACCGATCAAGCACACTATGCCTATGTTGTAACCGTACTGTTCCGATGCAGTAAGTTGTAACCCTACCGAGCCTATGTCGTAAACATACCACACCTACGCTGTAACCGCACCGTGCCTACGTTGTACCCGTACCATGCCTAAAGTTGTAACCGTACCATGCCTAATTTGTAACCGTACTGTCATGCCCCCTGTCCTGGCATGGGGGGAGAAAGTGGGGAGGAGAAGAAAGGAGTGGCGAGAAGAACAGCGGGGGGAAAAGAATGGGAGGGGGAGAAGCATGGGAGGGGGAGAAGCATGGGAGGGGGAGAAGCATGGGAGGGGGAGAAGCATGGGAGGGGGAGAAGCATGGGAGGGGGAGAAGCATGGGAGGGGGAGAAGCATGGGAGGGGGAGAAGCATGGGAGGGGGAGAAGCATGGGAGGGGGAGAAGCATGGGAGGGGGAGAAGCATGGGAGGGGGAGAAGCATGGGAGGGCAGGATCACAGGAGAAGGATGAGCTTGAGGCACGTCACAATCATCCGCCAAATATTTGAGATTTATAGGACGGCATTCTTGCTCGAGTGCCATGCCTTGCATGCCACCCGTAGCAGTCATGCGGCCAACAATGCCAGATTATACTTGGTGAACAGTAAGTGGAGGAAAGTCATAATTACAGATGGATGGATGCGAAGCTTGCTGTGGCCCACCAGGCCTGGAACGACCAGGTAAACTCGCATTGACTCAACTAACTTAGTCTGTCCGACTAGTTGACTGGGCTGACTCTGTTGACTCGCGTTAACTCAGTTGACTCGCGTTAACTCAGTTGACTCGCGTTGACTCGGCTGACTCGCGTTGACTCGCGTTGACTCTCGTTGACTCGCGTTGACTCAGTCAACTCACCTGGGCCGACTCAATGTAGCTCGACACTATCGCCCACAGCTGCTCGTTCCGATCCTTGAGCTGCCCGTGCCCATGCAACACACGCATCCATGCACACACGCACACACGCTCCCATGCACCCACGCACCCATGCACACACACATACGCACGCACGCACGCACACACGCACCCACGCACACAACAAACAAGTTGCTTTTGCCGAAGAAGTTAAGGGAATATATATAAAACAACGAACTAGATATGAAAAAAGTAGCAAAGGCACACTTGAGGAAAGGAACTGGAGGAAGCACAAGGCGGAGCGAGAGAAGGTTTTGTGCTCGGAAGTAAAAAAAAATCGCTGGGCGAGAGCGACAACGCAAATTGCTAAATACTTTCAAGCCTCATAACGAAAAGCGGTCATCACATCACGAGGAGGAAGCTTACGAGGAAGGGGAAGGCTGAGGTTGATACGACTGAGAGAGAGGATCCCCTGAGAAGCAATGGATCCGAGGAAGAGGTGGTGGAGGCGAAGGGGAGGAACGGCAGAAAAAGGAGGGAGCAACAAGGAGGATGAGGGGGTAGGGATTGGTTTTGGGTCCGTACGTTTTTGGACCCACATACTCGTAGTGTTACACGTAGCAGAAGCAGCAGCAGAGGCACTTATGAGTGGGTGAGGAGACCCACTCGTATAAACACTTGTGTGATGACAGCAGCAGCAGCACCCTGTTCCTCCCCCTGTGCTACTGGCTCTGGCGGTGTTGCAGAGCAGAAAAAACGAAATGCACTCACAAGAGGGTGAGGAGGCCCGCTTGTATCAGCACAGCACACACACACGCATGATGACAGCAGGCCCTAAACCCTTCCCTGCCCTGTGCTGCTGGTACTGATTCGAGCAGGTCGGTCGATAAATGAGGAAAACTCACGAGTGGGTGAGGGGGGCCGCTCGTACAAGCACACGTGACAGCACAGCAGCAGGACTCAATGCCCTCCTCTGCCCTGTGCTGCTGTCTCTGGCTCTGGCACTCACGAGTGGGTGAGCAGGCCCGCTCGTATGAGCACTCGTGTGATGACGGCAGCGCCATGGCCCCCAGCTATGGATGGGATTCACCAACTGCCATGAACTGCAAGTGGGCAACCTGAATGTGATGTGTAGTGTAACTCCACTTTCTCTTCTTTGTTAACATCACATGAGGGTGTGTGTAGTGTAACTCCAACTGCACATCACATTCAGGTTGCCCACTTGCAGTTCGGAGCAGTTGGTGAATCCCACTCATGGTTGAGGCTAGCAGCTGCCCCCCTGCAAGGGTTGTGGTTGTGGCAGCACCAGGCAGTGCTGCAGTGCAGGTTGCACTGGTTCATGGCTGATCTCATCATCTGCAGCCTCGATTTCGAGCAGGAGCGAGTCCATTTCAGGAAGAGCGGCACCTGACAGGTTGGAACTTAGAAACTACTGCGTCTGACTGCTGTTGCTGCTGCTGCCAGCGTGCTCTGAATCATGCTCCTCTGAAGCAGCAGGACTTGCATTTGTACTACCTTCATCAGCAGCGACAAGCAGGGAGGTAGTGAGGTGAGGTGATGATAGGGAGGGACGGTTGGGCGACAAAGGGGGTGAGCTGAAGGGGAGGAAACTGCAGTGGGGTGTGGGGAGGACGACAGGGGGGTGGGGAAAGGGGGCAGGGGGAGGGGGAATGTTCCAGGTGGGGAGTATGGATGGAGGTGTATGGAGAGGGGGTGAGACAAGGGAAAGCGCGCAAAGAGATGGGCCATTTGAGCAAGATACTGGCATAATCAAAAGATGTAAGCAAGGGCATGCAGTACAGATGAGTGGGGATGGCATGGCATGGCATACAGGATACATATACTACCCGCACATGCACGCACACATACACCATGCACGCACTACCCGCAAATGCACCCCCATGTACTGCACCCCATGCACTGCACCCCCATGCACTGCACCCCAATGCACTGCACCCCCATGCACTGCACCCCCATGCACTGCACCCCCATGCACTGCACCCCATGCACTGCAACGGAAGCAAGCGATGTGGCGAGTCAACGGCACACTCACCCCGACGTGAGAGCATGCTGCAGCTGCTGCTGGAAGGTGGGGTTCAGGCGGAACGCTGCTGGCGATGCTGACGACGCTGATGCTGCTAGAGACCCTGTTTCGCTGCACGTGGGGTGGATGAACGGGGGGAGGTGACTTTTGAGTCGACTAAATAATGCTGATGCAGATGCGATGCTGTCAGCAACCCTGTTTTGCTGCATGTGGGGCGGATGGAGGAGGGGAAGTGATGATTGGGGGCTGAGAAGAGGAGAGTGAGGGAGAAGAAAAGAAGGAGAGAAGGCAAGGGAGAAATGTTTCTCACGGACCAGCGAACGGCTTACCTGTACGCCTGTCACACTGCTGTTTGCAAGCCCCTAATCTGCAAGGCTGTAGCAGCAACACATGCATGTTATCTCACTGCCAGCACAGCAGCGCCTGCAGCTTCTCCACTGCAGCAGCCTGACAAGAGCGGCCTTGCGCTCGCTCTGTCAAGAGCTGCATTGTGCTCGCTCCAAGCCTCACTCATATCTGCACTACCTGAAAACCAAAATCAGCGTTACCATAAACCCGTAACCCTTCCTGCAAGCACCATAACAGCGCCACCAGAAACCATACTCATGCTTTCTTGCTACGAGCGATACCCCCCTAACCCCTATATGCAAAGCTATTAACGGTAACCTCACGATACACCAGTGGCGGTGATATTGCTACTGCGATACCAGTGAAGCACCCACTGGGCGCCGACATAGGACCACAGGTCAATGCGAAACCGCACGTTTAGTTTCAACACCTGCGAGCCAGCAGTAGCCAGCAGCTGCTGCTGCAGGTTGTTGAGGGATGCTTTGTGCTTGGCCATGCGGAATAAAGCCATTCACAACGGTACAACAAGCATTCCCGTCGCCCTCATGACACCCACCCTACCTGCATGCTAGCAGCAGGCGCAGCTGCTGCGGCCTATCAAGGGCCGCCTTGTGCTTTCCCATGCGACAATCAAGCGACTCACAGCAGCACAACAAACAATCCAATCACCCCTACTGACACCCACCCTACCTGCATGGCAGCAGCAGGCGCAGCTGCTGCAGCCTGTCAAGGGCCGCCTTGTGCTTGCTGTGGGCCTCGGGCTTGGGCCAATCAGCAACGAGCGCGGCGGGCACAGGGTCGGTGAGGAAGAGCAGTCGCAGCACGTACTGCTTTGCTAAAGGGGGCAGTGACCTGCAGGTTGTGGGGGGGGGAAGGGTGGGAAAGCGGGGAGAAGGAGTGCAGGGGGCACAGGGTCTGTGAGGAAGAGCAGCCGCAGCACGTACTGCTTGGCTAAAGGCGGCAGGGACCTGGGGGGGCGGGGTTAGTGTGGGAGGGGAGGGAGGTGGCAGGGGGTGGGAAGCGGTGGGAGAAAAGTGCGGCAGGCACAGGGTCGGTGAGGAATTGCAGTTGCAGCACGTACTGCTTGGCCAGTGGAGGGAGGGACCTGCGGGTGGGGTTAGTGTGGGGGGAGGAGGGGTGGGAAGGGAAAGCGGGGAGAAGGAATGCGGGGGGCACAGGGTCGGTGAGGAAGAGCAGTCGCAACACGTATCTCTTGGCTAGCGGGGGCAGGGACCTGGGGAGGGGGGAGATAGGGGGCGAGTGTAAGGCCCAGGTGGGGTTAGTGTGGAAGGAGGGGGGTTCCAGCAGGCACGGGGTTGGTGAGGACGAGCAGAGGCAACACGTACTGCTTGGCTAGTGGGAGGATGGGGGGTGATTGTGGGGCCCAGGTGGGGTTAGTGTGGGATGAGGGATGGTGCAGCGGGCACAGGGTGAGTGAGGAAGAGCAGTCGCAGCACGTACTTCTTTGGATGGAAGGTGCAGGGACTGCGGATGGGAGGGTGGGGTGGGGAGAAGGAGGGTGCACGGAAGGAGGAAGGGAAGGACACAATGGAGGAGGGAAAGTCTGAAAAAGGGGAAAAGGGGTGAGGGGGGGAGGGGAAGAAGAGGGGGGACGGTGGGGGAGTGGAGTAGGCACAGGGTAGGGTTGGTGAGGAAGAGCAGTGGCTGCATGTGCTGCTTGGCTAAGGGAGGGCGGGACCTGTGGTGGGAGGGGGAACGGACGGAGGTGGGGGCGGAAAAGAGGAGGTGAAGGAAGGGGGAGGAGGGGAGAAAGGAACGGAGGTGTGTGTGGGGGTGCTGGGGGTTGTGGGAAGTGCATTGGGGTAGAAATCGATGAGGAGAGGAGGGGGGGGAAGGGAGGGAGTGAGGCAGGGCGTGTTGTGCATTAGACACAACACGCCCTGCTGGACCAGAGGAGGGAGTGGCCTGGATGCGAGCGGGGGAGGAAGGGATTGGGATGAATGAGGGAGAGGGAAGTGAAGCGGAAGTGCGGCAGGAGGGGGGAGAGCTGCGGAAGGGGAGTGGGGACAGAGGGTTGGTGAGGGGAGTGAGTAGCATGCGAGGGGGGAAAGAAGGGGGTGTGGTGCGGTGAGAATGGGGTGCGGGGAGAGTGGTGGGGGTGCAGTGGCGCATATGAATGCGTGGGTGGGGGAACCAAGGGAGGCGCAGGTGGGGGAACGACTGGTGAGAAGAGAAGGTCCGTTGCTGGGGGAAGAGATGCGGAAGAAGGAACATCCGTTGCTGGGAGAGTATGGGGAGGGAGGGCAATTAGGAGCGGACAGCGAAACGAGTGGGAACGAGGAAAGGAGGAGCATGGAAACGGGTCCCCATCACCTCGAGCTGTTCTATGCCACACCCTCGTGATGAGTGTTTCGGACTCGCTGGCCAGCTGGACGGCAGTAGAACTCACGCTTAGTTAAAAGAAGCGTTTACCTGAGCACGGCTTGGCACGTGTAGAGGGAGGAGTATAGGCGGTCGAGCTGCGCGGCCGGCAGCGACGCGAGGTAATCCGCGAATAACCCAGCAGATTCGACCATCCTTAGATGGAGGGGGGGGTGAGGGTTACGAGCAGGGGCAGCGAGGGCGAGGGATACGGCGATGGCAGGGGAAGGGAGGGCGACAGGGAGGGGAAGCGAGGGCGACGGGGAGGGGAAGCGAGGGCGACGGGGAGGGGAAGCGAGGGCGACGGGGAGGGGAAGCGAGGGCGACGGGGAGGGGAAGCGAGGGCGACGGGGAGGGGAAGCGACGGCGACGGGAAGGGGAAGCGAGGGCGACGGGGAGGGGAAGCGAGGGCGACGGGGAGGGGAAGCGACGGCGACGGGAAGGGGAAGCGAGGGCGACGGGGAGGGGAAGCGAGGGCGACGGGGAGGGCACACGAAGGCGTCGAGCGAGTGACGTGAGAACGTGTGACGCCGTGATTGACTATGACGCTAGAGTGAGTCACGCCAGGGAGTGAGCGACGCGAGCAGTGAGTGACACGAGAAGTGAGTGGAGGGGGGGGAGTGGGCGACGAGAGCCCGTCGCAGGAGCGGGCGACGCTTGTGCGCGACGGGAGCGCGCGACTTGAGTGACCTGAGCGGGTGAGAGGCGGGCATTGGCGATTGACTTGGGCTAAGGGCGTGTAACTTTTTCTCTTTTTGACCGTCCGTACCGTATACGAAATTGGTATCCGGATCTCGTCAAAACCCGCATGATCTGCAATTCGATAACGAGCTTGGACGGTACGTACCGTGAGCGGGATACCCTGTTCGCATACGGTACGGACGGAAAAAGTTACACGTCCTAATGCTATCGTCTTCATGGTTTGGTGGATTACAATCCGGTAATATTCCTCAAGCAATCTTCCATCACTATGCATTATTTTTAAATGTACAAACAGCTTTGGTAGCAAAACAAGAAAGCTGTAAGGAAAATTCCTTTTCCTTACTTCGCGTGCCTGCTCAGCGCGTACACCACTGTTCCCGCCAACAGCACCCAACAGTAATCCGTTACCACTCGCTTCGACACTATTCCCGCCACTGTTCACGACGCGACCCAACCTCACGGTTCGGTTGATAACCCGCGCTCCGGACCTCCCGCCTCGACAATTTCCAACCTCGGCGCTAGGCCCGTCGCGCACCCCATTTTCCACACATTACCGTTACCACTGTAGTTTCGCTATATATTCTTCGCTCATACCTTCGCTCATTGTACTTTTGCTTCGATAGTGCAATTCTCGCTCGCTCACTCAATTGCACTCGTAACACTTGGTATTCAGAGCCTACGATCTCTTCTCGGACCGCACCCACACCTTCGCTTCCCCACTATCTCAATTTTGGGGGGGGGTAGACGTCTCTCAGCGACACAGCACCGCCGCTCGTAGTGCTCTCTCGTAAGCACGCACGGCCGCGACAGAGGTGTCAGAACATTATAGCTTATGCTGTTGTGTAGGCTATAGTGGGGTATTCCATAGGGGGTACAACCAATTAGGGTTTCATATTTGTACTCACTTCATTTCATAGTTCATTCATTCTTGTTCAAATCTTCTCATGGTATCGAGCAGGTTCCCCCTTGGGAACTGTGCTTAGGGCCCACCACATCGATTTTTTTTCCTGCCCGAAGCGCGCTCAGCCCGAGTCGCGCTCCGGGCCCTCACTTCGTCGAGCCGCCCTAGCGGCCCTGCACTGCGGCCCCGCCACCCGTCTCCGCGGCCCCGCCGCCCGTCTTCGCGGCCCCGCCGCCTCTCTCCTAGCGGCCCCGCCGCCCTACCTAGCGGCCCCGCCGCCTCATTGCGCGGCCCCGCCGCCCTACCTAGCGGCCCCGCCGCCCCATCGCGGCCCCGCCGCCCCATCGCGCGGCCCCGCCGCCCTACCTAGCGGCCCCGCCGCCCCATCGCACGGCCCCGCCGCCCCATCGCGCGGCCCCGCCGCCCCATCGCGCGGCCCCACCGCCCTTCCTCGTGGCCCCGCCGCCCCATCGCGCGGCCCCGCCGCCCTACCTAGCGGCCCCGCCGCCCTTACCTGCGGCCCCGCCACCTTACCTGCGGCCCCGCCCTTACCTGCGGCCCCGCCGCCCTCTGCTGCGGCCCCGCCACCTTACCTGCGGCCCCGCCACCTTACATGCGGCCCCGCCACCTTACCTGCGGCCCCGCCGCCCTCTGCTGCGGCCCCGCCACCCTATCTGCGACCCCGCCACCCTACCCGCGGCCACGCCGCCCTTACCAGCGGCCCCGCCGCCCTTACCTGCGGCCGCGTCACCTGCTGCCCAGCCGTGCCGCCCTGCAGCAGCACAGCCGAGCCGCCCAGCAGCCGAGCCGCCGAGCCGCCCAGCAGCCGAGCCGCCCAGCAGCCGAGCCGCCGAGCCGCCCAGCAGCCGAGCTGCCCAGCAGCCGAGCCGCCCAGCAGCCGAGCCGCCCAGCGGCCGCGCCGCCCAGCAGCCGAGCCGCCCAGCAGCCGAGCCGCCCAGCAGCGGAGCCGCCGAGCCGCCGGGCCGCCCAGCAGCTGAGCCGCCGAGCCGCCGCGCCGCCCTCCTTCAGGGCCGCCCGACCTGCCCAGTCTGGTGAGCACAGCGCCTTTTCACTGCACTGTCCTCACCCTACTGTTTGCGCTGCTAGTCGTCTAGGGTCATGGCTACCCCTAGTGTTCTCGCCTTTGACGCTGAGGGTAGGGCCATTGACTTTGAGGTCTGGGTAGATGACCTGCAGCTGTTCTTACAGTGCGATAGGGCAGACGGCCTCTCTCTCTTTGACCTCACCTCTGGCACCTCCACTGCCCCTGCTGCTGATGCTGACGCCACTGTTCGCTCCCAGTGGGCCACGCGCGACGCTGCTGCACGTCTTGCTGTGCGTCGCCACCTCCCTACCTCCGAGCGTGCGCACTTTAGTCAGTACAAGAGTGCTCAGACCTTGTACGACGCTGTAGTTGCGCGCTACTCCTCCCCTGCCACTGCTGCACTGAGCCGTCTCATGCTACCGTACCTCTTTCCTGATCTTGCTGCCTTTCCCACAGTCACTGACCTCATTACGCACCTCCGCACTAGTGACACTCGCTACCGCGCTGCACTCCCTCCTGACTTCTGCGCCAGGAACCCCCCCCCCATGTACATCACTCTTTACTACATAGTCACTCGCCTTCCTGACTCCCTTCGCGTAGTCAGGGACCACTTTCTCTCTGTCTGTCCCACCACTCTCACTGTTGACCTCCTCGAGAAGTCCCTCCTAGCGGCCGAGAAGAGCATAGTCGCTGTAGGGGCCTCTCGTGGTGACCCGCGCACCCCCATCTTTGAGGGGTGTTCCCCCTCCCCCCTTCTGCCCTCTGTTGCCTCTGCTGCTGCGGCCGACCTCCTTGTTCTTGAGTCGGTCGGTGCGGCGTCTGCCCCTAGCGGGAGACGCCGCTCTGGCAAGGGCAAGGGGGGCAAGGGCGCTGGAGGAGCGAGCGGGGGCGGTGGAGGTGGAGGTGGCGGCAGTTGGGGGAGTGGGGGTGGCGGTGGGAGTGGAGGTGGGGGTGGAGGGGTCGGTGGCGGCAGTGGAGGTGGAGGTGGCGGCGGCGGTGGCGGTGGGAGCGGAGGTGGCGGAGGTGGCGGAGGTGGAGGCGGCGGCGGAGGCGGAGGCGGCGGCAGTAGCGGAGGCGGCGGAGGCGTCGGAGGCGGCGGGGGGTGGCGGTGGTGCTGGTCGCGGGTCTTCGCAGAGGAGTGGCTCCGGTGGTGGCTCGCGCCAGCAGCAGCAGCGTGGTCGTGACACCCTGTCCCCTCAGCAGCTTCGTGAGTGGTACACTGCGCGTCAGCGGGGTGGGGGTTTTGGTCCGTGCTCCTACGTTTTGCGCACTGGCGACCGTGCGGGTGAGCAGTGTGGGGGTGCCCACCCCACCCAGCGCTGCTTTGGCCGCCTGACGGACGCGTGGCGTCACCAGTTCCCGGAGGCCTCCGAGATCCCTCGCTGGGGCGAGCTGTCTAGGGCGGGTGTTGCCATCTATGATCTTGACTTTGATGCTATTCTCTCTGCCATGTATGCTGTGTCTATTAGTGATGAGGGTGACTGTTACCGGTGTTTCCCGCCCGATCCGGGCATTGAGACTGCTGCTCTAGGTCCTGGTGAGGCTGCTGCCCTAGGTGCTTGCGACGCTGCTGCTCTAGGTGCTCGTGTGTCTGCGTCCTCAGGTACTGGTGAGTCTGCGCTCTCAGGTACTGCGTCGGCTTCGGCCTCCCTCACCTTCACCCTTGACTCTGGGGCGTCTCGCTCCTTCTTTCGGGACCGCACCACACTCACACCGCTGAGTCGACCGGTTGCAGTGTCTCTGGCTGACCCCTCTGGGGGTCCTGTCCTGTCTCGCTTCTCCACAGTCCTCCCGTGTCCGGCGGCTCCCTCTGGCACCCTGTCTGGTCTCTACCTCCCCTCGTTCTCTACGAACCTGGTGAGTGGTGCTGACCTACAGGATGCGGGGGTCCACCAGTTCACTCCTGCACGTCAGAGAGTGACCCACTGTACAGAGGCTGGCACAGGCCGACACCTGGCTACGTTCACCCGTCAGCCGGGGTCGAGCCTGTACACTCTGACCACTGCGTCTCCTCCAGTTGCTGAGTCTGGTAGGGTAGTTACGTCGGGTCAGGTGTTTGCTACGGCGTCCAGGTCTGGTCCTGAGTCTGCCCCCTGTTCGTGTCGTCTCCTGTCTCACGAGACTCTCCTCTGGCACCACCGCCTTGGCCACCCCTCTCTGCTTCGGCTCAGAGGTATGGCCTCCCGTCTTCTTGTGTCCGGTCTCCCCCGGTCCCTCCCTCCCCTTCCTCAGGGCCCTGGCCCTGCCTGTGTCCCCTGTGTCGAGGGGCGCCTGCGTGCTGCCCCTCACTCCTCCCAGTTTCCTCCGACAGAGGCCCCGTTGCAGATACTTCACATGGACGTGTGGGGCCCAGCCCGCGTCCGTGGACAGGGTCACGAGCGCTACTTCCTGCTCGTTGTTGACGACTACTCGCGTTACACCACAGTCTTCCCCTTGCGCAGCAAGGGTGATGTCACTGAGGTGCTGATCGACTGGATCCGCGCAGCTCGTCTCCAGCTCAGGCAGAGCTTCGGCTCGGACTTTCCTGTTCTGCGTCTGCACTCGGACAGAGGCGGAGAGTTCTCCTCTGGCCTTCTGCGTGCCTACTGTCGTGCACGGGGCATCCGTCAGACCTTCACGCTTCCGGACTCACCGCAGCAAAATGGGATTGCTGAGCGCCGCATTGGCATGGTCATGGACGTCGCTCGTATGTCTATGATGCATGCGGCTGCCCCCCATTTTCTGTGGCCGTTTGCAGTGAGGTACGAGGCGCATCAGATCAACCTCCACCCCAGGGTCTCCAGGCCGGAGACCTCCCCAGCCTTGCTGTGGACGGGGAAGGTTGGCGATGCGTCGGCGTTCCGGGTCTGGGGATCTCGGGCGTTTGTCCGCGACCTGTCTGCGGACAAACTATCCCCTCGTGCTGCTCCTTGCGTCTTCCTGGGGTTCCCCCCTGACGCGCCTGGGTGGCAGTTTTACCACCCCACCTCTCGCCGTGTTCTGTCCTCCCAGGACGTCACGTTTGACGAGTCGGTCCCCTACTACCGCCTCTTCCCCTACCGCACTCCGTCCCTCCCCCCACCCCCACTCTTCCTGGTACCAGGTCCCCCCCAGGTAGACCCCCTCCCCCCTCAGGGTCCTGCCCCTTCAGGTGTGTCCCAGGTAGACGCAGTCGAGCCTGTC